ACAAAATAAGCGATAAGTTTATATTATATTATAATTATGAATATAATAATTTCTATTATGCAACTTTAAGTGAAGATTGTACAAGAGAAAATCGAGACAGAGTTCACAAGAGTAAGAATGGTTTAAATGATATCATTTGATCTTCTTATCGTTAGATTTATATATATTTTATACATCGTTCTTTTGATAACTTTTTCCTAGACTATATTTCACGTTTATTTTTCAATACTTGTTAATATAAAATCCACATATTGTTGAAAAATACTTTTACTATAATTTATTCAAAATCATCAGCCTTCTCACTTAAAACGATATAAAACTTTTGAAGTTAATGAACTTTTCGCGACAAAAGTTTTTATAGAAAGATGACAAAACGTACAAGTATGCTTTCTCGATTAATTATTCGTATTCGAAGTAACTATTGTAACGCGATAGAAGAAATGAATTTTCAAAAAATATTTCGTATAATATATTTACTATATTTAAAATATTGATATTTTTTTAGCATTGAAAAGTATTCGTGTTTTCATATTAATATTCTGTCAGAATTTTAATTGTACATTCTCATCAAGATTTAGCAAAACATTGACAAAGAAATATCTCATAATCAGTGGAATCTACATTCTTCATGATTGATCGGTTCAATTACCTATAACATTACATGTTATTGTACACCATTCGAATATCAATGGATGTAATTTACGCCTCGCAGCATCGAATAATGATTCTGATCTTGATTACAAAATACAAATGTCAACTTTTCAACCGAAATCATACTTTGTCTCATCTCTTTCATACATATAACTGCCAGCTATATTTTTTTTTAATCGATGATTAAAATTCCTTCAAAAGTTTATTGGCAAGTTGTGTTATTGCATAATTTATATAAATAAAATAAATTATAAGATTTAACTAATATTATTGGGTTACAGAATACAATGATTTCTTTTAGACTACTTAATTTTGGATTATCTAATTTTCTTTCGTGTTTTATATCTTACATAACCAACAAATTATTAAATAACTATATAATAAAATTAAATAACAATTTAAATTTTCGTGGCCGTCTATGACTCAATGAAGTTAATTAGTTAATAATTAACATAAATAGAATTCACATATACAAAAATAAAATTTTTAACGTTTTATACTTTACACGTCTAATATTTTATTGATCTTAACTCCTTACTTATATCGATATTGATATTAACCTCTAGAATATTGAATCACACTCGTGACTCGACGAGGGTGTTACCAATCATAATATACCAATCACACCAATCGTAACCAAATTATCAATATCACATGACTAATAGCAATCATACCTAAATTATGAGTATCACGAAACTGGTACCAATCATAACCAAATTATTAGTATCACGAGATTGGTACCAATCATAACCAAATTATTAGTATCACGAGGTTGATGCCAATCATAACCATAACCGAGTTATCAGTATTACATTACTGATAACAATTATAGATAAAGACAAAGGTTAGGCGCCAAATATAATTAAGGTTAGTAATATCTTTTTTAAATTTAATTTTAATTCTGATTTCAATTCAAGATTACACATATTATAATAATCTGTGGATTACTGAATATTAATTCTTTATAATACTAATATTAATATAAATAATTATAAAAAAATTGAAAGAAAAGGAATTAGAATATATTCAGAATTATAATAAATTTGTGCATAATATAGAGAAATATTAAATTATTACTTAATATCATTATTAAAAAGGTATTACAAGGTATGATAATATAATAAAATGGAATAAAATGTATATATTATTCAAAATTGTGTTGAACCATTCATAAAAAAAATTTATATAATGGTTGAAGATTTCTCTCCGTCTTATCTATTTAATCTTTCCACAGCTATGAATGATTCACATTTATCAATTTAAAAAAAAATGTTGCAAGAATTTATGTATGCGTTCTGTACCACTTTTTGAATTTATTATCGAAATCATTTAAACGTATGGTCGATATAATACATTTATTTATCTATATATCTTGACAAAATGTTTAATCCAATATAATTCCTGTTACAGAGAGTATTAACATGAAACTGGAATAATTAACATTAGATTAATTCGATTTCATTCTGTCGTAACTTTTATTTAGTTTCTTTCTTTGTAAACCTCAGTCTTTTAAATAACTTTTTATTCATTTCTCATAAATAAAATGTAATGATTTAATTCCATTGATTTTCATAAAATACGAGTATCCTCCATATAATACACGTCTCTTTTCTTTACTTTTTTAAACAAATTTAAAACAATTTTAATTTGTAATAATTATATAAAAATTTTTAACTTTTGCCCAAATTTATCACACTTATAACCCTTTCAACTAAATAAACTCTGAAACAAGACTTACTACTTTTCTAAAACAACAAAGGTTCTTCGGAATATTTTTCAGTTAAACGAATTACAATATCTTTCGAACTCTTCCTCAGCCCATTTTATTCGTATTATCCGCCATTTTGTGTTCCTCGAAACGTGCCTCATATTATTCAGGACGGATCACAGAGAAAGTTTCGAATCAAATCCTGCAGCTGAACAAAGCTCTGAATCCCAAAGCTTTTTCAGAAAATGATATTTGGAATATTCAATGAACGTATAATGCTGATAATGACGTTCGATTTTCTAATATTCCTCAAGTCACTAAAACAATATCGATTGATCAATCGAAAGACTTCAATGCAGCTTTTCTATTATCGTAATACTTATCCGATAGTATTCTTTTGGAAAATTTATGTAGAAAAATATGTTTAATGAATAACGTATCTCAATTTATTAAAAAAAAAAGAAAAAGAAATATTTCAGTCTTAGCCATGTTACTTAAATGTTACTTCGATATTGTGTGATTAAATTAGCTATATCAAAATCGTTGATTAAATTAGTATCGAGTATAGTTAAATTAATCGTACGTGGCCAAAATGAATATTGTGCTATGGTTACAATTGTTTCTAAACTGTGTAAATACCGAAAAATGAAGTCTAGTTGCCACTAGATACACATTTTGCTACTGAGTAAATTTTACCACGATACTCAATGCATGCTGTTTATTTACTAACGTATTAATAACCTATACTCAACGTGTATACTGCGTCATATTGATTCTGATATTAATGTAAATATTTAATCCCCTCTAACGTATTGTATTGTTTATCTATTTAAATAACCAGAATTACAATACTCAGATTAATAATTTTAATTGTAAAGATTAAAGTAAAGAGACGTTTTTAACGAATTAGAATTAAAATTAGAAATATTACGGCAAATAATTTTAATTGCAAAGATTAAAATAAAGAGACATTTTTAAACGAATTACTGTTAAAATTGGAAATATTACACAAAGTTAAATCCACGTTAGAAAAATATGCAAGGAATATGTAAAACTGATAATAGAACAACGATAAATATCGAATATTAAACTCTCGAAAATTTATCACACTCGTGCAATTTCTTTCAAAATGGCGGAACTGGGGAGCGAACGTCCGATGCGAATCCAATTAAAAATGAAAAATTCTTAGATCGATCTTTATTGAAAAAGAAGAAAATCGTTGATTGCGAGCAAGTCGGGATAGAATTGTCAATTTCCAACCGGATTTAATTATTAGCAGAACGTATGGTTCGATGTCTAGCTCGCATTTCGTGCTTTAATCCATTTGATCAAGGCATTCCCTTTGTTCTAAAATTCGAACCACTTTTGAAGAGCGTTCATAACCGAATGATCGAATTACAGGTGGTCTCTTAAAATTTTTAATAAGGACCAGTACCCTTTCAGAAAGTTCCTGTGCAACCTACGCCTACGAAATATGATTTTCCTAGTTTGCATTCACTATAGAAAAGTGATAACGTCATACCTTCAATGAAAACGTCATACCTTTTATGTTGATGATTAAAATTTTATCGATTATAATTTATATTTAGATAAAATCTTTATTAGATACTTCTAAGTATGAGATTTATACAGTAATAAAATATTATTTTATTCTATAATATAGTAATTACATAAAATATGTAATTATTAAATAAGAATAATATTACATTATCAATTATACATTATTATACAATAATAATAAAATTCTGAATATAATATATTATTTAATTTTGTTTAATTAATAAGTATATATTATTATTATTTATTTAATATTATCAAAAATTTTTAATGTTTATTTTTCTCTTTTCAGATATTCATTAGAAAATATCGAACTATGTATTGGAAGTTGTAAAATTATATTTACAACAAATTTCTGTAAAAGTATTACTATTACGCATAAAAAATTGTTATTTATAATCTCATGTGAAAAATATAATTAAAAAACAAAAAATTGATGTAAAAATTATTATCCTTTTTGATATTTGAAAAATCATAAAGGAAAAACAAACATTTCAAAAGCAAGTGTATTTTTGAATCAATTTAAAAGTAAACTTTACAAAAACTCAAATAAGTATAAATATTATAAAAATAAAAGTTAATACACTGAATCCTGAATCAAAATTTCCCAGAAAGGGAAAAAAGATTGAATCTATCCCCTTAAAAACAGGAAGTGCACCAACCTGATCCTAACACCTCGCCAATTACCACCTAACGCAAACATTCCTCAAATCTAAAATTTACATTCACACGTTTACACGTCTCTCGAAAATCTCCATCTAAAAGAAATTTCCCCGATCTTCGCTTCATCTAATACCTAACCACCTAGTACCGTCGAACATCATGTCCGACCGATTACAATATCCACGAACCAACCCTGAACCCGGAATAACATGGAAAATGCTTACCGAACAAACCCCCGATATAACGCACATAACAGTACCCATGAATCAACCCGCGTATCTTACCTCGAAATTTTACTTCAAACTACCCTTATTCCCACCTAACCACGAACCGCGCGTTAAAAGAAAAGTTAGCGCGAAAGTCGTACCCCGCGACGAAACCATTGGTACCGCTGTGCACGGGAAGGTGGCAGACTACTCACCAGTGGTAGCCGTACTTCGTTGACCACGAAAATACAGAGTAGAAGACTGACCAGGTAGTTCCCGTTTAGGCCCATCTCGCGAACTTTGTTACCGTGTGTGCTCTCGTCGCGGTTCTCCAAATCTGAGTACCGGCGGAGTACGCGGCCGCTTGCTTATATAGCGCGCGTGTCCCGCCCCGCGCAGGCGCCGCAACCCCCATGCGCCTACACCTACACCGAATGATACGCGCTGTACACACACCGTCGCTGAGTATCCCCTGTTGGTGGACCACGCAATATGCGTAGATGCCGTGCTGTGTAGACCTCGTCCTCCTCCGTGAACCTGGAAAAAACGGTGGAAAAAGAAGCGGGCTAACCGTGACCAGGAAGAGAGAGAGACGCGATCTTTTAACCGCGACTCGGTTATTATGCCGTGGATTATTGCGTGTCCACTGGGAAACTCGGATGGGATGACTGGGTTGCTCGTTTTTCCTGTAGATTCTATATTGGCACTTTCGACTAGGTGTTCTTCCCTTTTTAGGCGTTCTTCTTTCTCTTCTCTTCGCCGGGGCCGGGGTTCTCATTCTGTTTATTTTCGTTTCGCTTTTTTTCGCAGAGCGAGAGAAAGAGAGAGAACTCATCGATTCATCCGTCGAAGAAGCAGACATTGTAGCGAGTCGCATTGTCGGCGACACTTGATAATTGAATCGGGGACAAAGACCCTCTGTGACTTTATTTGAGGCAACGTGGGTTGGTGTAACGGGGTGTTCCGAGGGGAAATGCGAAAGCTGTCGCTAACTTTTCGCGGATTTATTTTTGTGCTTACTCGGGCTTCGAAGTGTCTGAAATTAGCTTGTATGCTCCTTTAATAGGGAAAATGGGGATAAACGGGGAGAGGTGGGGTGATGCAATGAAATGGACACGCGATTAACGTGTTATGGAACGTTATGTTTTACGGAGGACAATTTTCGTTCTGTCTTCGTTCTCTGTTCTTGTTTTGCTACTTTTGGGGGAGGAAGGCGGTTGATTGAGGGGGTTAGGTAACCTTCAACGTTAAAATTCCTAATATTTATTTAAATATGATGTACAGGGTTAACGGTAATTTAAGTGACATGATGAAAATATATATATGTATACGTAATGATATTTTTACTTCGACTTTATCAAAAACAATTGCAACTTTTTTAGTAATATTAAATAGATTAAATAGTGGTATATAAGGGATAAATAGGTATATATAATTAATTATATTTCTATTTTAATAGGAAATAACGATAATTTTATCAAACATATTTATACACTTTTATATTATATATAAAATATATATATATATAT